TCATAGCCTCAGCTTTCTATCCCGGTGAAGACTAGTCGTCTGCCGGGTAGTTGGACTGAGAGGGCTTGGTCAGCTTAAGAGATTCCAAGCTACTGCCGGATCTTCCGCAGTTTAATCAACAGTAAATCAACCCAGGGTAATTACGACTGAGACCTAACTAAGGAGTTAGGGGGACTCATTCCCGAGTGACTCTCCCTTTGCTTTAGAAAACCGAATCATTTCCTGTTTTCTTACTGCTTTTAGTTAAACTCGCAATCACTCAACTTAGTTTGCTAGATAACAAATATACACGGAGTAGGCAGTAGATCTAGACCCCGGGTTGACAATTAGAGCTTGCCTGTTACTGCATTTCCGGACTGCGATTACACTTGGTCGCAGTTTGGTGTTGTGTTTTAGCGTGTCATTCACCTTGAAGCGGTTGAACATAAACAAAAAATGTACGAGCAGAAGATGAAGATGATCCGTCAGATACACCAAGCAGGGGCAGTATGGGCTGAAGGTCAAGATTTGCACATGTGGACATTCCATATGGACAACGGGGCCAAATTCGGCATTGCAACTACCAACCATGACGAAAGTATAAATGGAGTGTACAAGGGACTTAGAGCGATGCATGTTTCCGTCATAGTAGAGATGTCATACTGGTAGGTCAATGAGTGGCTTGTGAATCGGCTTCAGCTAGCTATATAGAGGGAGCTAGCTGGTCATGCAATAGCACATCACATCTTTGATCAAATGTAGAAGAATGAAGAAAAATCAAGTAAGCATAGAGTTGTTCTTTTCAACAGCAGTGGAGGTATTTTTGTTGTCAAAACAGGTATATGGGTGGAGGGAGACGTGGCCACAATCGTCAATACGTTACTCTACACTTAGAACGCCGCACCGGGGAGTGTACATGCAAAAAGTACCAAAACACAAGAATACCCTGTTCACATGCAATGGCAGTAGCTAAGTCAATAACCATGAGCTCTCAGAGTCTGACGAGTCCTTACTTCACCGAACAGGAGATCAGGAACTCTTACTCGGTCAGTTTCAACCCATTGCCAGATGAAGCTTATTGGCCTTTAGACAATTGGAAGTTGATTATCCCATCGTTGCACCTAAAGCGCACCAAGGGTCGTCCTAGGACTGAAAGGAGGGCCGAAGCGATGCTCCAAGTGCAGACAACCTGGGCATGACGAGAGGCATTGCCAAGGACAACCTCTCCAGCAAGATGCGGAAATTAATAAGGACCAACCTTGAATTGTGACCTATCTTAATTGTCATTTAGTTGTAATTATGTTTAAGTTGTAAGCTTGTTTAGTGATTGTAATGATGTTGGAATTGTGATCTATCTTGAGACAAAATGGATTTCAGACTAAACATAGATCATTGATAACTCGAGGCCAAAACACTAGACCTGACTACAGAAAGACAACATGGATAGTTCATAGATAATGCAAGACCAAAACATAAGACCTGACTAAAGAAAGACAACATGGATAGTTGATAACGATGTATTTGCACATGTTTACACCCTTATTTCTTATCCGTTTGCGGCTCGTAGACGCATATCTTTGGCCTATTTTACGCTGGGTTGTGCTATTTTGTCACATTTCAGGTCTCAGACGTCGAAGGAAGGGCTAGGAACGAGTTTCGAGGCGTTTGGAGGTCATTCAGTGAAGCTGGGGCAAAAACACAGGCAGACTACTCCAGAACACGGTCGTGTTCACTAAGGGGCACGCCGGTGCTTTTTAGTGCGCGAGCTGAATCCCTGCAAGGGGAGAACACAGGAGCCAATGAGTAAAACACGGCCGTGTCCCCAGCCCGTGTTTTTTATGCCGAGAGCCTCATTGTGACTGCTGATGAGGAGTTCAAAACACGGGCGGGAAAAAGTAAAACACGGTTGTGTCCTCGACCATGTTTTGCCCAGTCTCGGGTTAAAAGGGTTATTTCAAGCCAAAGAGAGAGAATCCGATTTTAAGAGAAAGAAAGCAGAAAACCTAGAGAGAGAGAGCGACGAACATAACTTCCAAGTGCCTTAAATCAATCTCCAACACCATTGGAGCTTGGGAGAATCTTGGAGAAATGCCGATTGATTATCAGAAAGCAGATTTTCATCATTCACACAATGATTTCCGCATCTGAAGCAGATTTCTCTTCTCTCTCTATGGAGTAAACTCTCACACTCACCTGGGTATGAATAACCCTAGATTTGTATGTTAGGTTTGGTTGTATGAACCCAAGTACAAGTTCTTTGATACTGATTATATTTAATTGAGGCATGATTTTCTGAATTGCATGAATCCTGATCAAATTCCTATAGTTCCTGCTTTGACCTAGAAAGAGAATATCTGCCTAGGTTGATAGAGCACCCTTAATTGAAGGTAGTGAATTGACGACTTTAGTCGAGGAGTTGGTTCACTATTCTATACTGGATTAACTCTAGTAGTGGAGGTTTGGCACGTTAGGGCCTCAATCTGTTTACTCCGGTGGAGGTTAGTCGCCCGCTGGGGATTCAGATTGAGAGGGTCTGGAGACCTTTAGTCGAGACTTCAGACTGTTTAAGAATCTTCCGCAGTATAATTATCATTGAAACTGGACGGGGTGAATTACAACTTGCCTTAACTGCAATCTAGGGGGAACCATATCTGGGTGACCTCTCTCAAACTTGGAACACAACCTTTACTTCTTTTGTTTGCTAGTTTAGTTGGAACTTCACTACAGTTGAAACGCTAAATAATAAGAATCTCACGGAATAATCATCGCACCTAGGACATGGGTTGACATTTAAATCTAAACCCGCTATACTACTCATTATTAGGTGGTTACACTTGGCCACTTTCTAGTGTGACAGTACAAGCGAGTCAATAGTTTTATGGAATGACACAAAACTAAAATAAACACAGATAGCATGATAAGTTCACTGGTCCCCTTCATTTTGTTCCCCATCTCTCCCTCATCCTCGTCCTCCACGACGTCCTCGACCCCTTCTTCCGCCATCTCGCCCTACTCCTTCCTCGTGAGCTCATTGAACAACTGCTCGTGGATTTCTATTAACCCAACGCCTGACCGGAGTCTGCATAGGTGGTGGAGGTGGAGGCGGCTGAGATGGACCAGTAGAGTGGTTGTACCTCGTAGCATGAGGGGCCTGTTGCTGCGGGGTATGATACATCAAAGTCTGCTGTTGATAGTGGAATTGAGGTAGCCCTTGGGGGAGCATGTCATGTTCCTGTGATGGAGCGTAGCTCGATGACCCTCCAACGACCTCTGGTGCAGTTGCCCACTCGTATTGAAATGGTTCAGGGAGTTATGTTTCTTGAGACGTACAAAGCTCTTGAAAGTGTGGCAGATGCTTGCGTTTGCTCTTTCGTGGGGGCTCAACCGGAGGCACAATGCGCTCACCATCACTGAATGATGGGAGGGCCGGGGGAGGAAGTGGAGGATTTGCTACGACATCTCTCATTTGCTCTCGGGTACAACTCAAGATGTTGTTCATAAGCCTTCTCAACCAAGAAGTCTTCCGCTCATCCATGGTGGGTGCACTCTCGACCATGTGCTTGACGTGTTCCAAACCATCAACCTAAGCAATTTAGGTAATAAATCAAAATTAATTAAACCTCAAAACAAAAGAATTAGACTACGAGGGAGACTTGGGATGACTTACCAACGAACAAATCACATCACCTTGCTTTGATACCCATCTAAGCATAAACTTCCGATACCACTGCATGTACCCATCGTGGTACCCCATAGGTCTCGTCTCCGACATCCCTTGGACCACCCAATTCGCTCTATTCTCCCAAATGTTGATGTAGAACTGATGCTTGAGAAGCCAATTCTTTGCCGAGTGTCGGAGGTCGATGGAATTGGTTGCTCCAATCGATATTGCCTCAAGGATCGATCGGGTAGGTGCCAGCTCGATGTGTCAGCAGATCAAGGGCACCTTGCACAACCACATCTCATGATCCTTGGGGTGTCTCAGATGATGTAGCTCGACCACTTCGCGTAGATAGGAGTCATATGTAACTTATACTCATTCATAATTTGCAATTAGCGACCAATTACATCCACAAAATTGTAATTCGTTAAAATATAGAATTGTCATGATTACCTGGTTCCACCAGGCTTATCAAACTCAGCACGATAAAACAGTAAAGAGTGCTCGGCATGGTGGTCATTTGTATTTGCTCCTATCCACCCCATAAATAAAAGTACGGATATAAAAATTTTGTAAAGCAAGCTAAGTAGCATGGAATAAATTTAAATTTAAGCTAAGCACGAAATAAATATAATTTAAATCAAGCTAAGTATGAAATAAATATAAAGTAAATAACGCTAACCATGGAATAAATATAAATTAAATGTTCTACAAGCATGGAATAAATATAAATTAAATAAAGCTAAACATGCAATAAATATAAATTAAATAAAGCGATATTAAATAAAGCTAAGCATAAAAAATTATAAATTAAACTTACTTGACACCATTGGGGGGATTTGGCACGAGTAGCAGCTCCTCATCTTGTCTCCAGAATGGACGCGCGTCTTGAGGTGCGAACATTGGAAAATGCTCCATGCCCAGAGCTGGAGGATAAACATCGCACCACGAGCTTGTTTCGCTCCCACCTTCGAGCAAGTACACATCTCCCTATATATCCCAGCTAACACGGCCGACCCCCAACTCTTTTCCCCGATCGTGTCCCAGTCACCGAGTAGCAATGGCAACCATATGCCTTGAATCCACCTGTTTGCCTTGTCGGGGAACAGAAATCCACAGACCAAACCAATGAGGTTGACACGTGCATAGCGCTCCCTTAGATATTCCGGAGTGTTTGGGCCGATTTGAACCTCATTTTGAATGTGAGCAATGATCCAGGGGATTGATACTTGTCCCGCATTCAACGGTGGATGCCCCGTCCTTGGACTGGAGTGGTGGTCGGCATGTCAAAGCCTAGACGCTCAAGAAGGAGCGGCCACCAGCATGCGTCGGATTTGGTAGAGTGACCAATGATGGCCTCTCAAGTTATCGGCAACCCGGTGAGGATCGCAACATCTTTAAGGGTGATCGTCATTTCCCCCTCCGGAAGGTGGAACGTATGGGTTTCGGGGCGCCATCGCTCAGTCATTGCTGTAGGCAGATCGTGGTCGATTTTAATCCGCATGAAATGCCTCAGCATACCCAAGCCAGTACTCTGTAGATACGGAGGCAATCGATCATGCCAAGTGGGCAAGTTAGTGGTCCCTCTATGAATGACGAGAATAAGTGATTCCTACAAAAAATAGAAAAAAACATCTAATTTGTTAGTCAAAGGAAAGCAAAATAAAATTTTTTAAAATAATGAAATAAAGTAAATTGTTTATAAGGTACGTAGTGTTTACCGGATTGTTGTGCCAAATTGCACGGGAGTGATGTGTTTCTTGCTCGGATAAATATTTCGTATCTCTTGACTCATAATGGATATACAATCGAGGATCGTATATCTCGACACCCATCTATAAAAAAAGTAATGAAATCATATTGTTTTTATTAAAAAATCACAAAATCATATTGTTTCTATTAAAAAATAAATCACAAAAGGAAAACCAAGAACCTACCCGAAGAGCCTCTTCGTCCATTTTTTGGCGGAAGCCGGACAGAGTTTCGACGAGTTTTTAGGGGGCCGGACTTTAGGGTATAACTCTAGTAATTCTTTATGATGTGGAAGGTCGGACTTAGCTGCAACGACAGAGCATAATTAGAACGAAACTATAGTGGAGGAATGGAGGAAGAAAGAAGAGTAGTGTGGTGGCGTAATTTGGAAGAGGGGAGAAGGGTTGTATTTATAGGGGAAGGGGACCGCTGAAAACAGCTGTAGGCTAATCCCCGTGTTTGTTTAATGCAGGGAACGCCCCGCCTATATTATAGGCGGTGAATGGCACGGATAGCTGACGTGGAAGGCTGTGAGGCGTCGGATCTGGGAGGAAAATCAGAATCCGTGCTTTACTGCAACCGACGGCAGCGGTGAAGCGTTCACGCGACACGGATCGCTAATGTGGACAACAGAGAGTTCCCCGCCTTTGTCTGTGGAAGTGAATGCCCCGTGATCGTCCACGTCTGCTATCCGCATCAGATTCACCGTTGTCGTCTGATGCAGTGATACGATCCCGCGTTTAATTAAAACAGTGAAGGCTTCACCGTTATAGCCAAACGGGGGGAATACTGTTTTAATTGAACGCGGTGATTGCTTCACTCTTTTTGTTTACGATAGTGATTATATTCACTGCTTTAGACAACGGCGGTGAATGCCAAATATGTATACTTTGTGATTTTTTTTTATAACTAACGTATTTTAGATTTTTTTTCAATAACTAGTGTATTTTGGGATTTTTTTTCCAAGCATATATACAAAGAGGCCTGTATGAAGTCGTTAAACACTGCTAACGACCAAGTAAAACTAACTAATTAGATTAACCAATATAACAACGACAAGTGGCATAACTGGACTAAGTTTGTCTAACTAAAGCTGCACGATGTCATATCACTCTGAGTCACTTTACAGACCCGTTCGAGCGAAAGGAATCCTAACCGGTCTGATTGTTCTTCATCTGCATATCTCCTTTGTATCAGCAGGATTAATGGAGAGCAGCTGATTCGGTGTTCCTCACACCAAAGGACCTTGAAAAGGAGAACTCGCAATCACCCATTTGAACTCATGCTTCCTCCGAGCTACTTTTGCAGGTTGAACTTTGATGGGTACACGTTGGGGTAGGAGGCCCGATGCAGAGAGGTGGGCTTTTGGGGTTGGGGCGTTAGTGTTCGGTTAGTTGGGTCATCAGTAATTGTTAGTAATATTAGTAGTCCAGTTAGGAGAAGGTCTGGTAGGAGGCCGAGTCGGCCAAGGTAGGGTCAGTGTTTCATTTAGTAGTCTATATATTGTAAGTTCGGCATTAGTCCGAGTTATCGAATAATTAAACTAAAGGTTTATCGACGCCCAAGTCGTTCTCCCGTTCGTGAGTTACAAGCAAACCCTTGGAACGTGGGTTACGTTTCCATCAAATTGGTATCAGAGCCGTTACGATCGACGATGGGCGGGACAGCGGCAGAAAGGTGCTCGGCCCTTGAGGCGGCGGTCGAGCAACTCTAGGCTAGTCAGACTGAGATGGTGGAGTGATGTGACCAAAGTACGCAGCTTTCCTACTTTTTATGGGTTTTCGAAGCTTTTCTCCAACGAACAAGAACTCGAACAAAAGATAATGATGGAACACGATCAAACAGATTCCAACTCGTGTGAAAGGCCAATTGGTATATGAAACCAATCAAACAATCACCCACTCGTGAATAAGGCCAATCGCTATTGGGTAGAAGCTCGCCACAACTAGACGCGTTCTCTAGTTGATAAGAGACACGTGAAACTCCTGGAGCACTCTCAACAGAAGCCTGCACAAAGAACTAGTTCGTATGAACTTGTAACTTGAAAGTTGATTGATAATTGAATGAGTTACAATGAGGAACTCAGCCTCTTATTTATAGACTAGCTAACACAAATCCAAAGCTTAAAATGAAAAACAAATCCTACAAGTAAAAGGAAAAACACAATCCTTAAAAGACAAGTAAAAGGAAAACACAATCCTTAAAAGACAAGTAAAAGACTTGGTCAACAACTCCCTAGGTTCTATCCTTCCCTTGTGTTCCCACCTTGATCCTTTTCACACTTGAGACTCCCCTCCTCTTCCTTAGCCGAATCCTCTTCTCCTTCCAAGCCCATTCTTCCTTCATGCTGGCCCACGAGTTGTAGCAATGTAATGGTCTTCCCATGATGATGATCCACGTCCATTTGAGCAAAGTGACGATCCAAATATGCAGCAAACTCCTCCCTTAACCTCTTTGCTTGTAGACGTGTAATTGGCCCCTCTTGTGACGAAATGGACTTGATTTTGATGACCTCATCAGTCCCTCCCTCTTGAAAAGGATTTGACCTCAAATCCGAATTGTCCTCCAAATATGGTGCAAGGTCAGAAACGTTGAAGGTTGCACTTATCCCATACTCTCCTGGCAAATCGATTTTGTAGGCATTGCTTCCAACCTTCGAAATAACTTGGAAGGGACCTTCACTTCGAGGTAACAGCTTGGATCTCCTATGATGAGGAAACCTTTCCTTGCTCATGTGCACCCACACCCAATCTCCAACTTCAAATGATCGAGGCTTCCTATTGCGATTGACGTTCTTCATGATTTGCTCCGTCCTCCTCTCGATGTTCAATCTTGCCTTCTCGTGGAGATTTTTCACAAATTCAGCCTTCTTTGCTCCATCCATGTTAACTTGTTCCTTCAATGGCAGAGGTGTCAAATCCAATGGTGTAAGTGGATTGAACCCATACACGAGCTCGAAAGGCGAATGCTTTGTGGTTGAATGCACAGCTCGATTGTAGGCAAACTCGACATGTGGTAGACAATCTTCCCAAGTTCTGATGTTGCTCTTGATCACAGCTCGTAGCATTTGGGATAGAGTACGATTGACCACTTCAGTTTGTCCATCCGTTTGAGGATGACAAGTTGTTGAAAACAGAAGCTTTGTGCCGAGTTTACTCCACAATGTCTTCCAGAAGTAGCTTAGAAACTTTGCATCTCGATCAGACACAATGGTACGTGGCATTCCATGCAACCTCACGATCTCCTTGAAGAACAAATCAGCCACGTTGTTTGCATCATCCGTCTTATGGCATGGAATGAAATGTGCCATCTTCGAGAAACGATCCACCATGACGAAAATTGAATCCCTGCCTCTCCTTGTCCTCGGCAATCCTAGCACAAAATCCATTGAAATGTCGACCCATGGTGCATAAGGAATAGGTAGTGGCGTGTACAACCCAGATGGTTGCATCTTCGATTTAGCATGTTGGCACTCAACACATCGTGCGCATAAGTTCTCCACGTCTCCTTTCATGTGAGGCCAATAGAAGTGCTCTTGTAAACAGCTTAGTGTTTTGGCTACACCAAAGTGAGCCATCAATCCTCCTCCATGAGCTTCCCTTAACAATAGCTGTCGAAGTGATGTCCTAGGTATGCATAATTGATTACCACGAAAGAGATACCCATCACTTCGGTAGAACTTTCCTTCTCCATGCTTCTCACAAGCCTTGTAAATCTCTCCAAAGTCGAAATCCCCTTCATAAGCAGCCTTGATTTGCTCGAATCCAAGGTACTTAGCATCCATAGTAGTGATCAACGTGTACCTCCTCGACAATGCATCAGCAACCACGTTTTCCTTGCCTTGTTTGTACTTGATCACATAGGGAAACGACTCAATAAACTCCACCCAACGAGCATGCCTCTTGTTTAACTTGTGTTGGGCCTTCAAGTACTTGAGAGACTCGTGGTCAGTATGGATCACGAACTCTTTGGGCCATAGATAATGCTGCCATGTCTCTAGGGCTCGAACCAATGCATAGAGCTCCTTATCGTAGGTAGGATAGTTAAGCGTAGCTCCACTCAATTTCTCGCTAAAGTAAGCAATGGGCTTCTTCTCTTGCATCAATACAGCCCCAATTCCCAATCCAGATGCGTCACACTCCACTTCAAAAGTCTTGTTGAAATCGGGTAGCATTAAAACAGGAGCATGAGTGAGCTTGTACTTGAGTTGCTCGAATGCCTTCCCTTGATCCTCACCCCAATGAAACGTCACATTCTTCTTGATAATTGAAGTCAATGGGGCGGCAATAGTGCTGAAATTTGGGACGAATCGTCGATAAAATCCAGCCAGCCCATGAAAACTCCTCACTTCATTCACGTTGGTAGGGGTTGGCCATGCTTGAATTGCTTTCACCTTCTCTTCATCAACCTCGACACCATTCGCACTTACTACGAATCCCAGAAATACCACATTCGAAGTACAGAACGTGCACTTCTTAAGATTGGCATAGAGCTTTTCCTTCCTCAAAGTCTTCAACACTTCTCGCAAATGATCAAGATGCTCCTCCATACTCTTTGAATAGATCAGAATATCATCGAAGTAGACGACCACGAACTTCCCAATAAAAGCTCTCAACACATGATTCATCAACCTCATGAACGTACTTGGAGCATTTGTAAGACCGAAAGGCATCACCATCCACTCGTATAATCCATGCTTTGTCTTGAACGCTGTCTTCCATTCATCTCCTTCTTTCATTCGAATCTGGTGGTAGCCGGACCTCAAAT